GGGGCGCCTGGGTGCGTCGAGGGGTCGAAGGACAGCGCGTGCACGCGGTTGGGGCCGTGCGCGAGCGCAGTGCCCGCAAGCACGGCAGGCGCGCGGCCGTCCCACAGGCCGAGCAGGCCGCGCGCTGCCTTGCCCACTGTGCACAGCGCGGGGCGCGCGTGCGGCGGCGGGGAGGGCGCCATGGGGTTCAGGGAGCGCGCGCGCGCGGGGTCATGGAGAGATGCGGCGGGATGATGGGGTGCGCGCTTTGGTGCGGGTCATCGGGGATGGTGGGGTGGATCGGACGCGGAGGTGTGGGGGAGGTGGTTGTGACGATGGAGGGCAGTGGAAGACAGTGGAAGAGGAGTGTGCTCGGACAATTCGCCATTTCCCCAAATTTAGGGCAAATAAAGGCAAATTCTTGCTTTCCGGAGTAGGAGTTTTCTTATTTTGGGATTGTTTTTGGGGTGGTGGCAGATGGTTGTTGTGTGTGAGTGCCCTTTTTTCAACTTTATTTCCAGATTTTGATCCCAACGCGGGGAAGGAGCTCAACACTCCAATCGAACGGCCCTGGGCCGTAACGTAAGCATGCCGTGCGGCCCACCGTTGAGCTGCAGACACGAAGGGCAGGAGGTCAAGACCAAAGAAAAAGCTGCCCCACCTTTCTCAAATCCATTCCGATGGCCTCTCCCACCAGCAGCCGAGTCCACCGGGGGCCGTGCTTCGCGCTGGCCGGCGGCGTGCCCACGCGCGGCATCCAGACGAGAAGCGCGCGCACGCCTTGGGCGGCGCCGCGCCTCGCTCCGCGCCCGTGCCAAAGAATACGGCAGCGGCGTGCGACGATGCAGCTGCCACCGGCGTCGCACGTGGAGCACTACGAGCCGCCGCTGTCGGAGGAGCAAGTGGGGCCGCCGGACTACAAGTGGGACCCGGCGTACCCGGGCACGATGAAGCCGGGCACCGTGGACGACAACTACCCGCTGCAGCGCGTGCTGGACTCGGACGTGTACGAGGACATGCAGTACGAAGAGCTGGACATGGACGACCGCACGCCGCGCGTCTTCATCCCCGGCGAGGACATGCTCCAATGGCTCTCCAACCAGGGCCGCCTCATGCCCAAGGATATTAGCGACCAGGACTTCGAGCTTGAGGCCGATAAACAGATGAGCGCCATCACAGAGGAGGACCTGGAGTACGGAGACGATGATTCCAAGATGATCGCCTACTACTCCAAGCAGGGCCAGAGCAACACCGCGGGTAGCGGCACGGACTTTGGCGGCTTTCCAGACTTTACGGGAGACGGCCCAGGCATGTAGAAGGGCGGTGTAACAGGGCGGTGTAACAGGGCGGTGTGAAAAGTAAACCAACGGGAGTGACAGATTACAAAAGTGCAACGGGTGCAAGAGTTGCAAGTGGATCAATGAATTTACGTTAAGCAACGGCGGCGCCTACTTCTTCGAGAACTGCGCCTTGATTCTAGCGTCCTCCTCGAGCTCCTTGGCGAGCATTTCGCCGTACCTCTTGTCGTCCTCCTTGAGGAGCTCCTTCTCCTCGACCCTGAACTTAGGCTCCGGCTTCTTCCTCTTCGTGCGGAGCCGGCTCTGCTCGACGGGATCCGGCCCGACCTCGGTCACCTCCTCCTCGTAGTTGAGCTCCTCGACGTCCTCCTTGAGCTCCTTGAGGTCGAACT